TTAAAATTAGTTTTTACTGAGAGTTGTTAAACTTTTCTTTTAAATTAAATTCCAAGATTCAAAAGTTATTATATTAGGTATTATTATTTTTGAAATCTTTAATATTTTGGTAGAAAACATAATAGTTAACCGTGTTAAGTATTTTATACAAACTAGAAAATGTTCAGTGTTTTCTCGTATTTTTTTATAATTTATGTATATTTAATAAAATATAGTTATAAATTGATGAAAATAAATACATGTTAAAACAATAGGCAACACAATAATTTTATAAATAATTAATTAAACTATTGTTATTCAGAAAATAACTAATAAATATAAGCTTTTTCTATGCTATTTTAATAATTGTTCTTGTCAAAGTATGAATTATTTACATAAATAAAAAGTTTGTTTTGAATAAAATTTTCATAATTAATTTTACCTTAGTATTTTCTTGTAAATATACAAGAGTCATAATAAAAAACAGCAAAATAAAACACTAAATCACAACAATACACCAAAACACTTTTACTTTTACACTGGTCGCGCGTTTCGCTAACCAAGTTAGCATCATCAAGATTCAAAGTCTCTGGAATCTTGATCATCTGCTGATGATGCTAACTTGGTTATTTTGTGGGTTTGGTTATTTTGGTGTTTTATTTTGCTGTGTAACACCAAAGGTTTCAACTCCCAACTGTAATAAGAGTCATAATGTTTACTTTACATCCATTTGAAATTGCAAAATACTTTAATAATGTAGGTACACCAAATTTGGTTCATTTATCTCTATTAGTTCTATTATCTCTATTATTATTTTATTTTTACAAGAAGCTTTTATAACTGAACATTAATTTTTAACTTTTTAAATTTGTTTTTCTATTAACATCTAAAGCCCTTTTATGAATACAACTTGACCACGCTCTATATAGAGCAAGTAGTATAGGTATACAGCTTGTATTAGAAGTTAGTTGACTAGTTGAGTTAGTATTAGATGTTTTTATGAAGCTGCAGCACCTATATTGAAGGTTTTTTACATCTTAGAACTATGATATGTTCCACTTAAAAATATTTTTAGTTTGACGAGACTTCCAGAACGACTGGAAATTGACAGGCTTTTTCTTTTAAATTTATATTTCGTAAAAATTTTCGAATTTTTATATCAAAATTCTCTACACCTAAAATTACATCATTTATGTATAATATTATTATGTCATGTTATATTATTATTATGCCATTTATGTATACACTATAATGTATACTGTCAAATAGAGTATCTTATCTGCTGAATTATGATGAATGCAAAGCTAAATTGAAAAAGATATTTTATTTTCCATTTAATAAGATTTATTTAATTTAGAGTTTTATCCAAAGACATCCTTTATTTTAGTGTGTTGTTTGGTTTTATCATACTTTCCATTGTGCTTGGGTGTATTCATATATAGATTGGTCTGATTACATAGTTGTTACAAGTTCCATCTTCGTAGTTTTTTAATTAACAACCTGAATTTTATTATGCAGACTAGCCGGATTCATTAGTATTCATTACTTTAAATTCATTCTTACTTTATTTTCACACCTTCGATGATATGGTCGATTGTAATTAATTTGAAATGCTTGCATGAATTTGTATTTGTAAGGAACTTATTGTGAAATCGACGTGGGTGTAGGCATAAAATAATATTCCTGCACTTATGAGTATTAATTTCCAATCTATTCCCTCTTAGAGTATACAGGGTGGTGACAATTTCAATGCTCAACATTGGGATCTCAGGAACTACGATAGATACGAATTCGGTTAAGTGAGACAAAAGTTGCGTTATTAGAAGTTTGGCAAACACCTGTGAATAATAATTTAGGTAAAAAATGAAGCCAATGCTTTTTATTTAAATGGCAATATCTCCAAAACTATTTAATCTATAGCAACGTAAATTGGTAGTTTTATATTTTGACTTGTACCAATTAAATGCCGTTTTTAGAAAATTTCTAAGCCTTCTAGATTTCGTATAATCAAGTCAAGTTCTCGTTTTCTTATGGCCGCTATATTAAATTTTTATAACATTAGATATAACGAAAAAAAAAATTATATGGTCATATATCCAATTTTGGACTATTAATATGTAAAATTTTTAGAATTTTTTTAAAATATGCATAAGCATATTCTAATTATGATATAAATCAGGTCTGCCTTGGAAAACCATATGCGGACTTTCATTCATTTGCCGCCTTTGAATTTTGTTGGTATCCGGAATAAAGAGGTAACAATATCAAAATTGTCCGGTTGCTAAGAGACGCCGAACTACTGGAGTGTACCATTTGGCGCGTGGCCAATTAGAGAAATTCTACTGCACCTACATTTAAAACAAAAAATGTTATTATTGTTTAAAATATTTTATTGAGAATATAAATAGTAATGTATAGAAAATTTAAAAGCTATAAAATACAGAGTACAGTAGTACAGGGCGCTACAAATTCGAGGTACGAGCATTGGCATCTCGGAAACCGTAATAGATACGAATATAGTTAAATTGAGGCAAAGTTGCGCCTTGGGATGTTCACCAAGGTGCCTTCAAAAAACTTTAAAAAATTTCAAGGATTGCTGAGTTTTTTGGAAAAAAACAAATTTTTTTGAAAATCAACTTTATTTTTTCCTGTCGTTACTTTTTGGAAAACCAAAAAACTAATTAAGGATTTTCATAGCTAGTTTATTACGGATATCTGAGAGTATTTTTAGATTTTCAGATTAGCTGATAATTTGTGAGATACAGAGGCCAACTTATTTTTTTTAAATACGGACCTGTATTTTTTATTTCAGGTTTTGAAAGAACTCGGTCGCCTGAGTACAATGATATGCCACACTTTATACTTTTTTTTGTTTCGGATATTTGAACACAATTTATTAAATTAATTTCAAGTTCGGCCCTGTTTTTTTTTAATATTTAATCTATTCTTCGTTACAATATTGATAAGCCTTCAAACTTAAGAATGACGTAGGATAAAACATTGAATACGGAAAATCAAATGCAATAACAAATAAATAATATATAAATATAATATAATAATACCTAATATAAACAATCAAATATTTTCCCCGGAAGATGGATTGGAAATGGTAGAGCAGTATAATGGTCAGCGAGGTTACTGGACCTGTCACCAAGGGGTAGAGGGGGCATTACTTGGCGTCATTTGTAAAAGTGAAATTAATATAATAATAATATATTTCAACATTTACAATAAAGAGTACAAAATGCATTCGGAAATGTAAGAAGAAATGTTCAAAGAGCTATAAATAAAATTGAATGAGTAATAAGTTTGTGCAATAGGGAGGGTGGTAACCCTTTCGAAAATGTAGAGCATTAGAAACTGGTTTTTAGAAGTTTATTTATTTATAATAACTTCAATTAATATTATTCATATTATTAGATCGTTTACTGAGATTTCAACAACATTCACAATAAAAAAAGTTAAAAGTAATATCTTTAAATTGCTGACTTCGATATTATTTATTTGAATCTTTCAATTGGCTTGATTTGCCTTATTCAAAGTTAATTAACGCTGATCAATATTGTTGCGATGAATATAATCAGATTAACTAATTTAAAAAATCAGAATCGGACTTGAAATTATGTATTTTAAATCATAATTAAAGATTTCTGTTGTTAAATTACTCAAAAAAAAGTATAAAGTTTGGCATATCATTATCCTCAGGAGACCGAGTTCTTTCAGAACCTGAAATAAAAAATGCAGGTCCGTATTTAAAAAAATTAAGTTGGCCTCTGTATCTCACAAATTATCAGCTAATAACAAAATCTAAAAATACTATCAGATTATAGCCCTAATAAAGTGGCTATGAGAATGTGTAATTAGTTTTTTGATTTTCTAAAAAGTACAACCTAATCTAACCTAATCTAAACGACAGGAAAAAATTAAATTAATTTTGAAAAAAATCCGTTTTTTCCAAAAAAACTCAGCAATCCTTGAAATTTGAAAACTTTTTTGATGGCATCTTGGTGAACATCTCAAGGCGCAACTTTGCCCTAATTTAACCACCTTCATATCTATTACGGATTCCGAGATGCCAATGATCGTACCCCGAATTTGTAGCACCCTGTATATAGTCGGTCCTACGAGTGAGGAAGGATTACAACAGACGACATCCTTACTTACTGCTATTACTCGCTGACGAGTATTTGACACGCATCAGAAGATGGTTACGCAAGGCGTTTTCTTTCATGAGCTTTTCTGTGACTGAAAAGCCCGATACAGGATGATTATCTCTCTTCAGCACTCCGGACATTCAAAAATCTCATTACTTTGTTGCCTCTTTACTTTTTGGTTGTCGTTGTTAACTGAGTTTACAATTCTTCTTCATTGTGTTCTGTTGTGCGCTGCATCCTCCAACTGATTCTGCATGCTTATCCCCTTTAAGTTTTCGTGGAAAATATCCTTGTACCTTTTGAGTTGTCCACCCTTTTTCCTCTTACCGTCTACAAGCTCACCGTAAAGAAGAGATTTTGGTAGGCGGTTTTCTTGCATCCTGCATACGTGACCAGCCCATCTTAGGCGGGATTTAGTAATCATGACAACATCTAAAAACTGAAAGAAAATACAATTTAGGCTATATACTGTTGTAAAACCCGGTTAACAGGGTTGGTAAATTACTGTAAGGATCCGTTTTTGAAAAATATCAACTTAAGACGGAGCAGTTTTATAAAATAGTAGAAATTTAATATTTTGGCAATTTTTAAATTGCAATATTCTGGTTATAGAACTTTTATTGCATGCTCTATTCACCTTTGAAATGGAGTTAAACGTCGAAAAATAATTTGTAAGTAAACTTTGAACTCGTCAGACAGTTTAAGGTTTTATTGCAACAAAAAAGAGATTAAATGACAAACGAACCAGAACAAATCCAAGGTCTATAAACGAATCACTGTCTCACTCTTTCCCTTACCTCAGTCCCAGCGGCTTTGATTGTGACGTCACGCGGCGATCAGTTAAAATGATATTTTTTATTGTTCCAGGAAATGAGAGTCCATCTTCGTTTGCTGGCGGTGCTTTCCCCGAGACAGAACCAGAACTACCCAACGAAATATCAGCTCCATATGAAGTACCGCAATTTCCCATCGAACAAATTGAGAAAAAGTTGCAGATTCAAAGGCAGTTGAATACCAAGTAAGTACTTTTAGCGTAGTTTTTGAAATAATAAATACTGTAATGCCAATCGACAGAAAACATGATGTAAATGGGAGATGGAGGTTCGCGTTGCCAAGACGTTATGGATAGTGTGGAGATTGTTGGCAATTTAAGAATAAATGACATTTAGAGAGTAACCTCGTCAAAATCATCACCGGTTGTCGATTCCCAACCGTGTTTGACGGCGTTTTTATTCGATCATACTGTATATATGATGTGATATTCTATACGATTATTTTATAGCCAAGCCAATTTCATGTGTGCTTTTCTATTTTAATTTTATCCAATGGCATTTCGTTGGCGTGAAATATCAATATAAACAGATACCTTAATTTAATAAATGTGCGTGATTTAAATTAGATTCATATGGATATCCAAGGAATATTTGAATTCGGTCATTTTTTAGTGACTTAACCTAAATATACGTTATTTCAGTAAGTCCAGTATTCGGAAGAGCACCGATGCTTAAATGTGCGCGATTGATAGCTATGACAGCAGTGGGTTTTATATAAAATTGCGAGTGTTGTAACATGTACCTGGTATTTTACTTGTATAAATCAGATTTCATCAGTTATTTAATAAATTCGGGAGGCATCGATCGGTCTAACTACGTCGATACATCGGTTTCGGCTTGATCATCGAAGTTAATAAGCAATTTACACAAATTTATGATAACTCTATCCAATTCGGATATAGTCACTTTTGGAGAAGACTACATTTTCAAAATTTACAAGAATGAACTTTTTTTATTTAATTTACTGAATATACTGATATTTCCACTAATGTTAAAGCTGCTTACTTCGACAAGAAAATCAATAAGGATCATAACGTATCTATTACGTCACTGATTATTAAAGGATTTTCTCGAAAACTTTACAGCTGAAGTTAAATCCTCAGTTTTAATCCAATATACGCATATCTAAAGGAAATTCAAGTGTAATGTCAAACATTGTTTAGTTCATGTTATTTTCTGTATGTATGTAGTACGTATTATAGTTAAATAGAAAATAATACTTGAGATGTTTAATTATTTTACACAAATGTCTTAATTTTAAATAACTAGCTGTGCTTAAAAGTTTAGAAGTATTATCGGAGATATGGACGAACGCGTCTGTATACTTTTAACCGTTTTTACTATGTTAGAATAATGTTTGGTTTTGCCACAGACTGGATAAATTTTCAACGGTAAGGAATATAATAAGTTAATTTCTTTTATTGTTTTTTTAATTTTTTTTTTAAATTTTTTTTTGTGTTCCTAAATACTATCCAGAGCTGCCATCTAATTTAAGAGGAGTACGCTTGTAGCTTTTCAAAGGCAAATCTCTTGATGTATTCTACAGGGTGATTAACGGCGATGGCACGTTAACTAAAAATTAACATTTTTTTTATTTAGTACGGGAGAATAAAATTAAATTAGTGCATTAGAAAATATTTTATTGAATTCACTTTGTCGTGTGTCATTCATATAAAGAAAATTCTAATTTTTAACTAAATGATAAAATTCAAATTTTTTCTATTTTTCCAAATTTTTCCTTAAATTTTCCCTATTTGTCGCGATTTTTTTGGCACAACCATTTTTCCGCTCCATGTGAAACAGCACTTAGGATTTTTTCTTTGCAAAAATAATTTTTCTTGATATATATTTTCATTCATATAAAAACTAAATATGACAGTGCGTACAAATTCTTCTTTTTGTTTCAGAGTTCTAGAAGATAGAAAGACGCACTATGAACCTTCAGTATCAGGAGCTCCAGAAGTGGAGGATTTGGACGAGCATGACCTTTACGTGCCGCATTTCCAAAGAGTTTCGATATCAGGGGAGGATACAAGTGGCGTAAGTCATTTTTTTAAATGTTAGGTTTCGATATTTTATTTCCCATCACAGGGAGAGATACTAATGTTTTTTCGCTAAACAAATTCTTTACGACTAAAGAACTACCAGTTGTAGAGATATTACTGTAGAGATATTACTGTAGAGATATTACTGCACTGCTATTACTCGCTGTAAAACTATTTGACAAGCATAAGAAGACGGTTACGCAAGGCATTTTCATGCATGACCTTTTCTGTGACTGAAAAGCCCGATACGTGATAGATAGTCTCTTCCGCACTCCCGACATTCAAAAATCTCATTACTTTGTTGCGTCCTTACTTTTGGGTTGTCGATGTTAACTGAGTTTACAATCCTTCTCCATTGCGTTCTAATGCACGCTACTTCTTCCCACAGATTCTACATGCCTATCCCCTTTTAGTTTTCATGGAAAATATACTTGTTTCTTTTGAGTAGTCCACCCGGTTTCTTCTTGCTGTCTTTCGGTGTTTCAAGTTCACCGTAAAGAGGAGATTTTGGTTCTCCTGCATCCTGAATACGTGACAAGCCCATCTCAAGCGGGATATATTAATCATGACTTCAACGCTCTCGCAGCTAGCTTTTTCAAGGACCGATACGTTTGAGACATTGTGGAACCATTTGATTGTTAAGAGTTGTCTAAAGAATCTCTGTTGCAACTTGTTTAATGCGTTTATATGCCGGCAGCGGTACGGCGCGGCACCCAGGTTTCGCCACCATATAACATGGTGGGGATTATTATTGCTCGGTACACCGCAAGTTTCTTTTTTATGCTAAAGTCATGATTGTAGAAAACCCTGTCTTATTTCCAGAATGCTTTTGAGGCACTGCTAATTCTGTGCTGAATTTCAGAGTCGATATTGGCCTTTTCCGAAATCAAAAATAGTTCTTCGATTTTTATAGCATTGTTGTGATTTTCCGGCGGAGTGCACATGATCTTAGTTTTATCGATGTTCAGTGTAAGGCCCAAACCCTCGTATTCCTAAGTATATGTGTTCAGCATTTCTTGTAATTGCGCAACTAAAGCGCAGCAATCATTTGTATCTAATGCCGATTTCTCTTTTCTGCAGTTTGCTATCCACTATACTGTGGAGTCTAAAAACCAGTATTATTTCAAAAAATTAATTATTTTAAATTATCCAATTTCAGTGACAAGATGTTTTTTATAATGTAATATTTTTAATGTCATTTTATTATTCTTCAGTTCTCCGATGTCAAGGCCATTGAAACCCCGAATCCTTTCATGTAACGTATAGTTATATAAACGACAACAGTCACGCCAATATCATATTAAAGCCCCATTTCTTAAATCATATCACGTTTTTTATATCTGTAATATTTAAATCACAAAAGAGAATTTATGTCTCTATTTAATAGGCTTGTTCTTTTTTAAATTTAATTATTTAGTTGCATTTGTCATGTTTTATACAGGGGGTTTCAAGAAACATGTGCCATCTTTTATGGGGATATTTCTCACGTAAAAGGTTTTGTATCAAAATAGATCCGTCCGATTCTGCTTTGTTTTGTAGCTACAGGGAGTTAAATCTTTATTTTTTTTTTAATTTATTATAATTTTCTTCCAAGCAGTGCTTTTAGTAATTCGAATGAGATTTTCAGGGAAAAATGAAGTGCCACATATTTTATGAGTGTAGACTGTTTAATGCCAATAAAAGTTGTATCTTGATATTTTGTCGATTTCGATCTCCTCTATATTTATAATTTAATGTAATATGTCCCGAATCCTTCCAAGGGAAGAGTGCATGGCGCACCTCATTCGCCTTGGTTGTATATACGAAAACGGAAAGATGTAGAAACAAAATATTTTATGGGTATATGTGGGGTACATTGCCTCAATGTGCACAATATAAAAATTATTTTGAAATATGCAGGGTGTTCCTGAAATAAGATCCATACCAAAGTTATATGTTTTCTTATGGAACACCCCATATTTTATTTCATTTTTGGGCCTAAAGATTCTTGTGCCTAAAACGGCATTTATTATCAGGGTTAAATATGTTTAAAATAGTTTTCGAGATATTTAAAGATATTTTAATATGCATGCTACAATATAATAGACATTACTTTGCAGAATTAATTCTTGTGCTGAATTTAAAAGTAGAGAAATAAACTTTACTGAAAAAATTTATTACTTCCTTAAATTTATACAGGGGTACCAAAAATTGTCGATCTATTTTAAATATTTATTTTACATAAAACCTTCGTCATTTCAAATGCAACGCCCTGTATTTTTTTTAATAAATTAAAGCAGATTTAAATGCCCTTTCAAACTATATTAGGGTTTCCTATACCTATCTAGCTCAGATTTTGAACAAAAAAATACTTTTCAATAAAATAACAATCAAGACAGCTCGTGGTCGCCATGGCAATTTTCTAGTGACAGTTAGTAACTATTTTCAAAATTGACATTAGTTTATGGACATTTTACACAGCAGTTTACTTAAATTTAACCATAATAGATTAATAAGTAAGTATCCATTTTTTATTAAGAAAAATAAAGCAGTATTTGCCGGCGGAACGAATGGATATGTTACTAGGGTTTTTATTTTGTCTTTCCACTTATATGTTTGTTTATGGGGGCTAATGGCCTCTCATATTTTTTAAAATGTCAAATAGATAACTGATAATTTTTTGAAAGAGGGAGTTATCATGAATAATAGAAAATTAAAGTAATAAAAATCAAATAAACTCCTTTGTAATAATATTTTTTATGTATCAATAGGTTCCTTTGGAAGATCTGGAAAGAGCCGCCAAACTCCTCATACAGGCTCTGAAAATCCGGAAGCGATACATGAAGATGTCACATCAATCGTTTTCTTCCACGGCTGCCAGATTTTTGGACCCCGAGAAGGAGCAAGAACAACACGATGACAAGCAGACTATTGAAGGTACGTCCTATAATATTTTTCCAGGCAATAAACATTTTTTTTTGAAAATAATCTTTTAGTTTTGTATAATTTTACAGCTTACTATCTACAAACGCTTTGTATATAGCAAACCCTGTTTTACATCCCAAAAATAGAATATTCAAAATATATTTACGTATTTATTGCTTTTGTTTATTCAAAAGATATCTAACCAAATATTAGGATTAATCAGAAAAAATGAATTTTACTCGATAGAGAGTCTTTATTGAATAAAATGATGTTCATTTATTAACCGAGAATATCCTACGGAACTGAAATTTGTTTTGTGAACATTTTCAACAATTTTGGCGGAAATTAGCCAATAATTCTTTTAACTTCCCGATATTTGCCGCAATTTTAATAGGAATACAAATTTTAAATTCAGCACACCATACCGGGTCGTCTCAAAAGTGGCTGACCCCTATAACTTTTTTTATTTTTTCAGATTACAGAACGAGATTTGGTATGTTAGTATATGACATAAATTAGGATTTATTGACGTATTCAATTGTTTTCGGTCACTTCCCGTTTCGGAAATGACTACAACTTTTGATTTTTAAATGCCACGAGGCACCCACGGTATATTTCTACTTTATTCGATAGAAATTGATACTCTTAATAGAATGACATATCATATGTCAACATTTGACATTTTCTAGTATGGTTTATTTGAAATTCCAACATGCGGTTCATAACGACAATTTCACTCGAAATACCAAGTGTGTGGTACCAAATTATTCGTAAAAAAATGCTTTTTCCAAACATGCTAATGAGCCACAATCGCGCCATTTAAAAAAATTGAGATATGATTAAAATACGATATGAGCATCTTAACTGACCAGGGATAAGACACTAAAACATTAGATGATCAAACATATTTTCCAAGGCTCCTTGATTAAAAATTGGTGTTTTTAACTTAGCCATGGCACTCTAAATTGAAATTTTAAGTAGATACATTTTTGTTTTAAGCGAAAATGTCAAATGTTATTCAGAGTGTCATTTTATATCGAATAAAGTAAAAAAATACCGAGGATGCCATTTAAAAATCAACAGTTGTAGTAATTTCCGGTGAAACAGGAAGTGGCCGAAAAGAACTGAATACGTCAATCAATCCTAATTTTTGTCATATACTAACATAGAAAATCTCGTTTTTTATCTGAAAAATTAAAAAATTGTAGGGGTGAACCACTTTTGAGACGCACCCGGTATAGTTTAATGTTACTATTTAAAAATAGTCATAAAAAATTAGGTTAGTTATTTAAAAGAACGATGATGAAGTCATCTTATATCCAATTTGGGACTGTTGTATAGGCTTGGTGCATTCTCTGGTGCTGCCGCCATCGGATTGAGATGCTAATATTTAAGGAGGTGATTCTTGGACCTATTCTAAGAAAAAAAACTTCATATGAATATATGTCTTAAATATCTTAACTTTTCAGATACAGGATGGTAAAATTTTCTATTTTGTTTCAAAATATCTCTAATGTTATATTTGACACGCGTCTTCCATGCATCAAAATGCATATTTTGATATACAAAAAAAATTGTTATATTTCTTAATTTCCTTCCAGCCGATGAAGAAATGATTTCCACACAACAGTCATCGCATCAGACTTTCGGCGATTTTATCCTGAAATAAACTGATTTTAATTTTTTAATTTCTTACCGATTTTAATTTTTTAAGCAAAAAAATTAAAATCGGTAAAAAATTAAAATCGGACGAAAAAATTATGAGATAAAAAATGTTTAGCAATGAATGGAGATGTTGACGACAATTTTTATTTTAAGAAGAGTTTTTTCTCCAAAAATATTCAATGTAAAACACGTATGGACGGCACTGGTTGAAATAAATAAAATTATTCGTACACTAAAAAAGTATTTTGATGCATTGAAGACGTGTATTAGGTTTCATAAATATATCTATAATAAAATCAAAGTTATTGTAAAAAAAAATTAGAATTTGCCACCCTGTATCTCAGAAATTAAGATGTTTAGGACATACATTCATAAGAAGTTTTTCTCTTGAACAGGATCAAGTATCGCCCCCTTAAATATTACCATGTCATTAAGGAACATCCTGTATAAATATTACTTCACTATGAGTATATTATACTTCACTATGAGTATCTAATATTTCCATATTTCTGTCATGTTCTAATGTAATAAAGAAATATAGCATTTGACAAACAACAGTGATGATGGTAAATATATTATGAAAATTCATGTAAATAAGATATTCCATTTCTATTTCTGTCTTTATGTCTTGTACCCCCTTTTATTTTTTGTTTTGATTTTTTGATAAAATATTTGAACAAAGCCAATATATTCTATATTTGACGCATAACCCGTAATATACCTTATGATCGAGAAAAAACGGCATCCAATTGGCTGGGAAATGACGATCGATGACATCTCCCATATAAATTTACATATAACATGACAACGATCTTCATTTCATAGCCATCGCTGACGCTGTTTTTTTTTTTCGATCATACGGTTGTTGAAACAGATTTCTATTTGTTAATCTCTAAAGAAAATGATAAAAATGTTATGGAACCTAGATGTGTGTGTGTTGATTATATGTATCTTTTGTACCTGACAAATTTATAATAGCAATTTTGTAACACTCTTTAGCTGGACAGACTATACTTGTATTTTTTAGGTTTCTATTTAGTATTTTAATTTTTTACTTTGTCGTAAAAGATGCAAAGATATATGATAATATGGCTCTGTTCGGATATTTATTCATTTATGATATCTATATATTTTGGATAATAAACAACTATAGAAGTGATTTTAGATTTAACATTATTATACAGGGTGACCTCACAACAGTTTCAACCTCAAGAACACGTCTGTGATGTTGTTTTCGCAAAAAAAGATGTTGAAAATCGTGTGTATTTTCTTTTAAATGTTTGTATATAATTTAAATAACTTTTTAGTTTACCGCAAATTGTCCCACGGTATAATTTGGTAAGAAATTATGTTTTTAAACTAAAAACTAAAAAAATTTCAAAAACATTTTTCAAAAAATTTCGAATTCTCAAATTTCTTTTTCGCGAAAAAAACCTCATGGGCGTGTTTCTGGGGTTGAACTATATTACCAGTTAAAATACTTGCACTTATTTCTGGGACATCCTGTATAGTTAAAAAGAATGCACAATAAATACACTTCTTAGACGACATATTCAAAATATACCGATAATATAGCTTATACAGAATGTTTCGTTTTTATAGCAGGGTTTTTACATACAGAAAATGTTATTTAAAATCTTTCCAGACGAGAATATACACGGTCGGCAACGGTTTCCTTTGGGTACCAATTTTCGTGGTAGTCAACGAAGTGTAAAGTCATTAAGTAAAGCCACAGTTACACATATCAAGTAGCTAAAGCAAGCTACTAAATCAAGTAGCTAAAATTTAGCCTGTTCATCTTAGTGAGCGCCTACATTTTAATGTTTATTTTTGTTTAGTTGTTGATTTAAATGGGTTTTTACTTTTTACATTGAGGACATAAATATCCTTCAACCCTGCTCGCGATTTCATAAATGTTTTATTTTCTTTTTTTTGGCAATAAGAAGTTGACCCTAATGCCCATATTTTGTTTTTAATTTCATGAAATCGGAATCCTTCTATACCCATGATCTCGCCCATGATCTACTTAATTTTCTTATATGCTGTGTCTTGTTTATTTTTATAAACGGCAGCCCTTGTATCCATAAGCCGCCTTTCACGATATTTTTCTACTTATTCAAGGGACAGAATTAACTATTAATAATTCAAATAAAATAAACGCTAGTAGTTTTTACTAATTAACTTGAGTATACACTTGTTTAGTCGGCGCTTTAGTTGGTCAAAAACAAAGGTGTGGATGACCACTTGCGCAAGTACATAGGAATCGTTTCTATTCAGTTGACTAAAAAGTTTACTAAATCTGTTACTTGCGCAAGTACTAAATCGGGTTGTTTGCACCATGGAGGTCACTAAATTTAGTAACTTGCTTTAGCTACTTGACATGTGTAAATTAGGCTTAAATAAGATGCTCTGAACCTTCTCTGAACGAAGGGAGAAGAGCAAGTATTTTTCCAAGCGCGTAATATAAAGCATCGGATTAAGTATATTGTTATGTTTATCTAATAAACACTTCGCATTTTTCTCTCTCTGACTTACAAGTTCACTATAGCGATTCACTCCTAGACATGTAATTGCCTACCCTGTATAACCATATATCGACAAAAAAATTAGCTATAACTTATTGAAAAATGATTTAATTGAAGGTTGTGTACATTAAGTGTCAGTTGTAGTAAGTTAATCTTACAACTAAACCAAACCAAAACAAAATAAACTACAGATCATAGTCCATGCAACGATCCGAAAGATTTGGACAGATGAGATCCAAAAAATGACAGAAAATACAATTGACGTGGGAATTTAAATAATAAACGCTACGGAAAGGGCACCTTGAATATCGGTACGAATATTTCGCTAGTTTTTAAAATCCCTGGTCTATCGACTGTTTAATCCTGCTATAATATACGGAACAAGATGTGCCTATTTTTTCTTTAAAACTGAGTACGGTACCACCAACATCCCTTACAATTTGCATGATAATCCTTGTTAACCTAGATGAAGCGTACGTTGAGCTGTTGAAACGTGCGGCGAGGTCGTCGTTTGATGACGTCGTTTTATCGACGCTGAATCGAGAAAACATCGAAATGTTCAGGAGAGTTTTAGCTACCGATTTGAGTTTCTTCCCAGGTAAAAGACAGTATATGGCAACGTATTTATTTTTTCCTACGCACTACTTCAGAGATCAGATAAAAGTGACATTATTGGGTTAAAAAACATACCTTATTCTAGATAAATATCTTAAAATGAGACTAAGATTCTACTTATATTTAGAAAGTTAAAAAAATATCGAATGCCACGATCTTTTGTTAATATAACTTGCCTTAATATTCATACACATGAAATTATTGTTTGACAATATTATAAACAAACCAAAATATAAACAATTATTGGTTTATTGGTAAATTGAAAGCATCATAGACATGAATAAATTGGAGACTAACCAAAATACTTTGATTTGCTTAAACCCAACATATAAAGCATGATTAAGTTAACAAACCGTTTGTTTATTTCTTTTCTTTTGTTCTGCTTGAGTGCTTTCTTGAGTTATAATGAGTTATAACTCATCATACAGTCACGGGGATTTGACTAAAAACGGTTTCACAGAGGTTAGTTCTCGATCTTCGATATCTCTCTTACCAAACTTCATGACACGAATGGTTGTCATCTCGGCGCACTCAGTAATGAGGTGTTCTGATGTTTTTCCATTTCCCCCCCCCCAGAATCTGCAATTGCCGTTGTTTCTTAGTTTCAGTCTACTGAGGTGTTCATTGAGGAGACAGTGTCCTGTTAAAAATCACGTGACAATCCCAAAGATTATTCTTACTTAAATCTAGAAACATCTTTGAGTTTTCTCGGTCGTAAGTTCTCAGAAATTTCTTCAAATCTTCTTCAAGAGTCTTCCAGATTCTTTAAGAATTTACGCTTTAATTCTTTAAGAATTACGCTTTAAGTTGGTTACCACTTGGGAAGCAGAACGATTCCGGTCCAGTTAGTGGAGTGTTTGCTCCTTTTCTACTAGATCGTTTGCTTTTTCATTGCCTCTCTCCCTTGGTGGGCCTCCTTCCAGTGTAGGAGGGCTTTATTATCTTTGCCTAATTTGTTCAGCTTCTCTAGGCATTCTTTGACCAATTTCGAATTGGTTATTAAGTTGATCGCTTTTAATGTTGCTTGACCATCTAATAAGATAGTTATTTCTTGTTTTCGATTGTTCTTATATAAGATCAGTTGTACGCATCTTTCGGTAGCGTAGATTTCTGCCTGAAGGATGCTGGGTACCCATTGGTTCGGAGTATTTAGTTGTCGGCCCAAATACTCCCATCCCTTCCCTGGTTTGGTTTTAGAAGCATCAATATACCACCTTTGTATGGTTTTGGTTTGGTCTTACCTGTTGAGCGAACGTTTCTCTCTTCCAATCCTTTTTATTGCTAATACTACAGTGAGATGTTTCTCAAAGTTAAGTACATTCTTCGAAGTTGCAGAAGTGGAATTTTTCTTTTGAGGGTGTTCTAAGCTCCTGAGCTGACAATTGCCCCAGTACTGTTTCCGTCAATGCCCATTCTAATCATGTCGCATTGGCATATCTACCAACGATAATGTGCATTGGTGTTAGGTCTACAATGACCTCCATTGCTGCTGTTGGACATGTTCTCATGGCCCCTGTGATGCAGATGCCTATCTATTACAAAGAACCGCACATCTTCCAAACTCTCGCACTGACATAAAATGTGTCCTTTTGTTTCTACTTCAGATTGACAAAATCTGCATATGGCTACATCTGTCAATCTCATCAGCTTTAGCTGCTTAATAAACCTACAAAGTGCCTTGTTAGTAGATCCACTATATCTTTGACAGACTTCCTTTTTTAGCCGATCAGGTTTGTTGTAAATTTTGCCGAATATTCTATTATGAACTTATTCACCTGTCACTGCTCTGGTGAATTTCACCTGCTAGAGATTTGTTGGTCATCCACTGTTCTGTCGTCATTCTTGTAACTGCTTTTACAGAAGAGTTCTTGAGGAAGTTACTTGACTTTTTTTTAGCTTTTGTCATCCTTTCGGTATGACTTCCCATGCCAGGATGAAGTTTTAATACCCCTTACATATATTGGGTATTAATACTTCAAATTCCCATCTGTAATAATATGTGGTATATACCGTCTGTCCTTCGTAACTTGTTTGCCTACCTAACTCTACTTAGTCTTGTGACTTCTGTCACAAGTTTCCAATGTAAAGTCCTTGGCCTGACCAACTTTCGGTCTAGGTTGGTGTGCGTGGTAGAGTCGTAGAGTCAGTCAGAATTATTGAGGCCGGAAAGTGAACCTTTATTAGTTCTTTAAGACTTTCCCCTTTATTTTCTTATAAGTGCCGTCAGATTTTATAACGAAACCTACTCCTTTGATGGTTGTCCCATCTTTTTTCAGGATTTTATGGATACGAGAACCCCCATGCTGGGACATCTGTAATTTCCTCGCAGAACGTTCTTCATGAATTCCTTTTGACTTTTTTTATTTTCTTACTTTGTTATTGTAATGCGTCGACCCCGACTTAATATAATCCTTTTTTTGGGGGGGTTTTGACATCTTTGCTTAGTTTCTAAATTCCATAAACCATGCACTTTAAACGTTTCATCGCACATAATTTCTGTTTTACTTTGATAAATGGTCTCATAGCGTTCAAGAACAAATTTTTAACAAAAATACATAAGATGAAACTTAAAAAATATAAACAAAGCAAAAATTATAAGTTCTTCAGGTGTAAATAAACAACTGTCTTACGAATGTTTCGAAAACTGACGTATATGATCTTCCAACTCCATTTATGTTATTATGAATGATACAGAAACATATAAACAATATATGCCAATAGATCATCATCTGTTTTAGGTAATGGCAATCAAATTGGTTTTAAAATCTATAAATATTTAAATGAAAAAAATATGTGTCTTTTAGAGAAAGAAATTGTATAATTAAAAGAAACATTATAATAATTATGTATTAATCGTAATATACAATCTTCGTCAATAAACTATTTTAATAAATAAGTAGCAACCTAGTAATTTTCTATTTATATCTGCTTAGTACTTACATGTTACCCTATGTTACATACATTAGTTTTGTACAATAGAGAGCTTCTACTTATATTAATTGTTAAAGTTCATACGGTATATTTACGTTAATATCCACTTTTAAAAAAAATAGTGAGAAAACATAGTCCCCTATTTTTTAAATTTTCCATAAATAATCTAATTTATATATCCTATATAAATTTAACCCAATATATGTTACTTTACTATATCGACTTTTAACTTTAACATAGCAAATAAAAAAATAATATACATCTTTTAAAACTCAACAACACCTTAACTAGACAGGTAGTAGATTCGTGTGCAATCGTATAAATATGTACTGTACGTTGCAAAAGTTTGTTTTTCTTAAAGTTGCTGTTTAATCCTACAAACCATATAATACGTCTTTTATCATTTTAATAATAATAATTACAAACTGTAAACTTATATAGATTACACCTCAGTAGACTAGAACACTTATTACACTAAATTAACTTAGTGTGCCATACAGTTTGTATAAAAAATATATATTTAACTGTTCCCTTTTAAAAGAAAATAGATTCTAACATTTTTGTAACTCTATAACAGCCATTGTATTAACATTTACCTCACTCTTGGTCCACTAAATTGCATTTTGTATGTTGTTTTTTTGTATTTTTATAACACCATTGTCCTACATATAATTTGCATTATTTGTTTTTGGATCATATATAGTATAAATCTATTAATTTTTTTCATTCATTTAGTTTTAATACATACATATAGTTTTAAGAAAGGTATAGAAAAATAAAGATTAAATCTGCTTTTTACATATTTAGGTTACAGAAATAGATATTTCACTGTATACACTTATCACTATTTTAAACACTTGAGTTAAAATAAGTATATTATATTAAATATGTAAAATTTATAAGTTTGCTCAGTGTTCTATTTTTTACTTAAAATGTTACCAGAACTACAAGTAAGGTAATCTGTCATATCTAGTTCGTAATCACACCATGTATACTTTGAGCAAGCTTTTTTATTATTACAGACAAAGAACTTATCAGATGTCAGATGTTTTCCATTCAGAGTAATACCAACAATGTAATTTCCTTCAATTTCCAGTAGAGTAATTGTAAATATATTTGGCATACTATAATATAGTTTTCGTTCTTTTAAACAAAGAATGATATAAGAATAATTTCCAGTTCTTTGTCTGTATTTTTTATGTATTTTTTTCTACTATAAGAGTCCGAAATTTCAATAAAACAATTTAAAACGCTTAAAAAATAGAATAATATATTTTTGTCTTAACAATTAACACTGTTATTACACAATGTTATCTTCTAGAACATGGAATTCATCATCCGCCGACGACCAAACCCTGGGAAGCCCCGGAAATTCCAGATACTCCGGAAGTATTCGTTCACAAAGGCGGTATTTATAATGTTTACGCCAACGAAGAAGCTGTCAAAAATGAGACTGCTTACAACTACCCTTATCCAGACGTCATACAATTTACTACAGATTTCTATAATATGTGCAATATGATTGCTGACGGACCTCTGTAAGTTTTCTTATTTTAAGTATAAAAAAGTATATTTATTTATGTATTGTTACGTTTTTCATCGGTACCGTGTGGATAAAAAGTCTAATTTATTTAACACAATTTATTTCACTAAGTTAACAAAAACAATAACGATAAAACAATTAAAGAACTATTTATAAACTTATTTACAACTATTTATCTAAAAGGAATTTATTTCAATTTATTTTAAAAGGCGCGAGCACGGCAATCGACTCTGATTGTTTCTGTCCTTTTCGCACAGATCTCGGTTTATATACGAGAGAAACAGAAAGTCTAGATTTTACGCGATCTTTGTTCTAGTCTTTTCTTTTCGTTATCGCGCGTTCTCTGTCTTTCTGGGGAATTCCGCAAGGTCAAAATGGGGGCAGGACATACTAGAACGGGGCTGATTTCGCAACAGTATATTAATTTAGTTCTGCAAACTTTCGGATATTCTGCCACAAAACCACTTTAAGAATAAAAATTATTCCTTGACATTTCAGTCGACAAGCATAATTTTTTACTATAAGACGGCTTTTCACATAAGAATAACGATTAAAAAAATCAATAAGCGTTTTTTACTTTTTTTTATTAAATAAAATATCAAATTTTAGGTGTATTAGTAAATGCAGTTTCAATATCTTGCTCTAAACCTTGTTCGTCTCCGGCGAATGAGACTCCCTCTATTAGCAATAACAAAATAAAATAATTATTTTAACCTAGTAACACAATATTTTACCAAAAACTAATATTTGTAGAGTTCACATATTTTTGATAAAAACTTCATTATTATATGTATATTTATTATGTATATTTATTTTACAACTACAGTAAAAAACAGTGAATAAAATTTAAAATGTGCCTTATAATTTTTATTAGTTCACAATTGTTCACTAATGAGGGAAGAAGAAGTTAGAAAATTCAACATTTATTTACCTTAACTTTAATTTTAGGGATGTTCCACACACAGTGACTCAGAACTCAAAATATAATATGTATATTATATGTTTATATCTAAACAAAATTATTTGATATTATAATACAGTTATCAGAAAAGTCTAGCGATAATTTTACAAAATTATAATAGTTATTAATGATACAAGTTCGATACGTATAATGAAACGTCGGCTAACGCCTCGTGGCTTAACGTTACACAAGTTTCATTAAAAAGTTCGTATCGAACGTGTATCATTCAAAATTTAATTTACGACGCGACACGAGGGACGATCCAAAGAGATTTGATTTAATTTAAAATATCAGAGATATCCTCATAAAAATTAAAATTCAAAATTATCAGGTGCCCATATTACTCGACGCTGTGGTAACCGTGCTTGTTGATTGTTTCCATTTTGACTTTGACAACTGTCTTAAAGCCATAATGACATCCAAATGACAATATTAAATGTGTCATAATGACATTGTCGTAGGTTAATAAAATAAAATGGTGATTGTTTAATAAACGGCTCTTCCCTTAGTTTTAAAAAATATTTAGTTTTTTTCTCTTGTTTGCAAAGGTAAATTAAAAATATTGTTTATAAACAATAAAAAGTGTATGTGCTCAGAATTTCAATACCATAAAATATAAAAATACAACAAAATGTAAGAAAGTCATAAAATTCAGAACCACACCGTCTTCGATATACTTTCGCTAGCCGAATTAGAGAAAATAAGTGTTTTATGCGTTGACCACAGAACGATTGTTGTCTCCACAGTGCAGCACTTGAGCCGTAAGGGGAAATCAAATCAGCCTTGTCACAAATTCGCCCATTAGGATGCGTATCTTCCCAAATCTTTCAATTAATGGTATTAATATATAAACTTATAGTACAGCGTATTCAAATCCAGTGATACATTACATAAACAATATCCACCATTGAAACGGGGTACTTATCACAGACTACTGGGTGCGTCTCAAAAGTGGCTCATCCCCTATAACTTTTTTATTTTTTCAGATAAAAAAACGAGATTTGGTACCTATATTAGTATATGACATAAATTAGGATTGATTGACGTTTTCAATTGTTTTTGGTCACTTCCTGTTTCACCGGAAATGACTACAACTTTTGATTTTTAAATGGCACCCTCGGTATATTTTTACTTTATTCGATAGAAAATGACACTCTGAATAGAATGACATATCATATATCAACTTTTGATATTTTCGCTTAAAAACAAATCGTATTTTAAATTTCAATATAGAGTGCCATGGCTGTGTTAAAAACACTAACTTTTAATCAAGGAGCTTTGGAAAAACAGATTTGACCATATAATGTTTTTCGTGTCTTGTCCTGGCCGGTTAAAAGATGCCCAAATCGTATTTGTAATTATATCTCAATTTTTTCAAATAGAATAAGGGTGGCTCATTAGCACATTCGGAGAAGTATTTTTTACGAATAATTTGGTACTTCACACTTGCTATTTCGTGTCAAATTGTCGTTATGAACCGCATGTTACAATGTCAAATAAACCATATGCGAAAATGTCAAAAGTTGACATATGATATGTCATTCTATTCAGAGTGTCATATTCTATCGAATAAAGCAAAAAAATACCGAGGGTGTTATTTAAAAATCAAAAGGTGTAGTAATTTCCAGTGAAACAGGAAGTTACCAAAAACAATTATTGAATACGTCAATCAATCCTAATTTATGTCATATACTAACATACCAAATCTCGTTTTATTATCTGAAAAAATAAAAGAAGTTATAGGGGTGAGCCACTTTTGAGACGCACCCGGTATACTATGTTTTTTTATAGTGAGGCTATACTAGATAAATAATTGTGCATATTTACAATTTACAATCATTATAAAGCTTTTGCATTTAATAGAGGTCAAAGTTTTATTTTCATTCTTTTAGGAAATCCTTCTGTTACCGGCGTCTTAGCTATCTCTCTTCTAAGTTTCAACTCCATGTTTTACTTAATGAACTGAGAGAACTAGCCTCTCAGAAGGCAGTACCTCACAGGGACTTCTACAACATCAGAAAGGTTGATACTCACATCCACGCAGCTTCCTGCATGAACCAGAAGCATTTGCTTCGGTTTATCAAGAAAACTTTAAAGAATAATGCTGATGAAGAAGTGACAGGAGTCGGTGGAAAAACCATGACGTTGAAAGAAGTTTTTCAGGTTAGTGTCGGTTTAAACCATAAAACTATAAAACTGGAAATTGCAAGAAATTTACTGTTTCTTTAGGGAGTTGAATAAAACTATAATATAATAATAACTAGTATTTAAAAAAAAATAGTATTTAAAATTGTTAAAATTATCTAATATTAATAAAAATAACTTAAATAATATATTTAATACGAAAACTACAGGTACGCCAATGATACATTTATTTAAAATTTATAAAAACGGTATGTTGACATAACATGGTAAAAATAATGGGAAATGAAGGAATATCGGTTTACTCCATAGCAGTATGTCCCCGGATTGTCTTTATAATAGAAAAAACTTTTTTGTCCGTATTTAAAAAAATAAGTTGACCTCTCTGTATCTCACAAATTATCAGCTAATTTGAAAATCCGACTAAAAATACTGTAGGATAGCCCTAATAAAGTGGCTATGAGGATATGCAATTAGTTTTTTGATTTTCTAAAAAGTAACGACAGGAAAAAATAAAACTGATTTTCAAAAAAGTCAGTTTTTTCCAAAAAACCTTGATTATTATATATTTATTATAGTATATTTCTAATCCTTGAAATGTTAAAACTCTTTTTGTGGCATCTTGGTGAACATTCCAAAGCGCAACTTTGCCCTAATTTAACTATATTCGTATCTATTACGGTTACCGCGAGATACCAATGCTCATACCCCGAATTTGTAGCACCCTGTATATGTATCAATATCGAATCAATGTCTATCACATTCAAATATACTATAATATTATATATTTATGTTTCTTTTTTTTCAGTCAATGAGTTTAACACCATTTGATCTCACGGTTGACATGTTGGACGTCCACGCAGATAGGAACACTTTCCATAGATTTGACAAGTTCAACGCCAAATACAATCCCATTGGTGAAAGCAGACTGAGAGAAGTATTTTTGAAAACTGATAATTTCATCAAGGTAAATATACAATACAGTTTTGGTAAATTTATTCACTGCTATCACCTTTTTGGATACGGCGATAGAAAAAAAAAATATTTAATATATTTTTTTGCTTATATTTTAGGGAAAATATTTTGCGAGTATTATAAAAGAAGTGTCGAGCGATTTAGAAGAATCTAAATACCAAAATGTCGAACTAAGGCTGAGCATTTACGGAAAGAGTAAAGACGAATGGGACAAATTAGCAGCTTGGGCAATAGATTCCAATGTCTATTCTGACAATGTACGCTGGTTGATTCAAACACCTAGACTTTTGTAAGTGTTCTTAACCCTGAACTGGCGTGGTGAATTTATTGTAATGCTTATGGCGTGATGATGAAGAGATTTTATAAAAAGCTTATTATTTTAACACTGTTTACAATATATTCAAACAAAATTCCATTAATTTTCAACAAATTAATAAGAACGGACACAAAAATAAAGTAAAACTTTTTTTGACAACAGAAATATAACTTGGCTAGAGACCCATAGAAATTAAAAACATATATATTTTATGATTTTTCCGTATTATTAACAGTACAAACAACTGAAATGTGAAGCTAAAGTAATAAACATAAATTATTTTCAACAAAACTGCAAGCCATGAATGTATATAACTTTTTCAAATTCAGTTCATGCTAATATGGGATCTGCATTTGCCGCACATGGATCGAGCACATTTGATTCATGAGATTTTTGTTTTTTGTCATTTCTTCATTGACATAGGGTTGCCATATACCACATCTTTTTCTTTTCTCGTATTGATTATTCAATTTTCTCTCTCCAATAAGTAAAAGATTCAGAATCGGAGTTATGGTTACTCTTCGGAGAAAAATCAATGTGTCCATGGTCTTCATCTCACTTAAGCCTCTTTAAGTTCGGATCATCAAACCACTCAATTAATGCTTCCCCAAAATTAGCGTCCCACTGAGGCACACTTTTTAGATTACCCACAATCCTAATAATGAAACATTCTTGGCGTGGTGGTGCCACACAGACCCCAATGAAACTTTAGCCCCCGCTGGTAGGAACAATACTTGATAAAATCAAGTGCGCCTTTAACAGTTGCATATTGGTACCCTAACTTAAAGGTAAATGGCGCGGCGAGGCCTAATTCTTAAACGTAAACAATTTACAGAGGTTTAAATAGTGCTTGGGGTCCGCCACGTAATAGTGCTTGGACCCCGCCACGCCAGTTTGGGGGTTAACTGTCTTATTGTAACTTTTACCAAAAATCATACATAACTATAATTTGTTTTATTTTTTTCAGCGACATCTTTAAGCTCAACAAGGTTCTCACCAACTTCCAACAAGTTATCGACAACATCTTTTTACCGTTGTTTGAAGTTACGGCACGACCAAGCTCCCATCCCAATCTTCACAAGTTTCTTCAGTATGTCATTGGTTTTGACTCAGTCGACGACGAAAGTAAACCAGAAAAGAACCCATTGTTCGACAAAGACACTCCTAAACCTGAGGACTGGAATGACACAGAGAATCCGAACTACGCCTATTACATGTATTACATGTACGCGAACTTGACGGTCTTAAATCATTTTAGAGCTGAGAAAGGTCTTCCTACTTTTGTCATGAGGCCTCATTGTGGCGAAGCTGGTCCTGTGCAGCATCTGGTTTGTGGTTATATGCTCTCAGAAAACATATCCCACGGTCTCCTCTTAAGGAAAGTACCTGTGCTTCAGTACTTGTACTACCTAACCCAAATTGGCATAGCCATGTCACCTCTCTCAAACAACAGCTTGTTCCTAAACTATCACAGGAATCCTCTACCGGAATACTTAGCTAGAGGTTTGTGTGTTTCTTTATCAACTGATGATCCTCTTCAATTTCACTTCACCAAAGAACCTTTGATGGAGGAATATTCTATCGCAGCTCAGGTTTGGAAGTTGTCTAGTTGTGACATGTGCGAATTAGCAAGAAACAGCGTTTTGATGTCTGGGTTTCCTCATAAAACCAAGCAGTACTGGTTGGGACCTAACTACACCAAAGAAGGTGTTGCTGGGAATGATATTGCCAGAACCAATGTTCCTGATATTAGGGTGGCGTTTCGATATGAAACTCTTATCGATGAATTGTCAAATATTTTTAAAAATTTTAATTTAGAATTGGAGTACAGGGATCAACAAAAGTGAGCCTGTAAAGTAGTTTAGTGGAAGGTCAGTCAATACAATTTATCGATTTATAGTATCGTAGGGATATTTTTTGTTGATTTAAGGAAGACAATTTTTTTAACATGATTATCAGATATTTGTGATGTTTGCAGTTCTACTTACCATCTGTAGTGATGTAGATGGTTTATTATTGTTTTCTGCAGTATTTTTTTATTAAAGCTTTGTTTTTTGCTTTAAATTTGCAACCAAAAAACTGAGTCTACGAAAAAGGAAACAGAACACAGACGAAAAAAATACCAATTTTAGTACTATAACAGATACAGATGTCTTCCTTAAAAAAATTGCATGTTATATTTATAAATAATTACAATAACATCAATCGAGTGAAACACTTTATACTTAAAAAAATATTTAATAATTTTACAAAATAATTTTAAAAAACTTTTTAAGTTATTTCAGAATTACGAGTATATCATAAAATATATTTTATTCTTTGTTTATAAGCTTATAATATTAACTCCCATCAACTATATTTTTTCTTTATATTTGTATTTTTTTCTACATATATTTTATATTCCTATAAAATTGTGATATAAACACAGCCTTAAAAAATGATACAGATAAAAATAACGAAGTAGATTCAATTATTAATTTCAAGTAGATTTTATATATTTTTATATTTGTTTAATTTACTAGAATCTATTTAATATAATATTATGAAATAAACTGATTAAACGTATTTAGATTTAATTAGAGTTTAATTCATTTGATTAAAAACCTAAATATTTTATATATTTACATTTTTTAGTATAATAGATTATATTAAAATTTAATAGATTGCGACTGATAGTTCGTCAAATTGTTGTTAATGTAGGTATTTAGTTTTATAATAAAAATTAAATAAGTAATGTAATAGTATATGTGCTTAAATAAATGAATATAGACTAGAGTTTGTTTTATTAAAAAAAACACGAGTTCTTTGATAAAAATCTTTCAACTAATTGTTAATAAATGAAGTAAATATGAATCAGATGAACAAGCGGAATAGCTTATCGACAATTTGAAGAAAGGCTTAAATCCAAATTGATTGCAGATTGTAGTTTAACAACTTATGAACTATGATTCTATTGAAAACTAAAATTTAATATGCGATAACTAACATGAAAGTGAAGGTATAGTATTTTTAATACCCATTTAGAATAACACCATCCTTATTTATTATTAATAAATCAGTTGAAACAAAAAATTACCAACAAAAAGGAACGTCGATTTGTTAGATGTCACGTTTTTGAAGTTACGTCAAATTTTGGTTCAAGAAGCCGCATACGTTAAGTTACTAAAACCGCTGGTACCTCTTATAGGTACATGTGGTAATACCTAAGGGTAATACATACTGTTAAAACAGTTAAAAATAACGAACAACAATGAAGCAAGTTTTTTATTGTCTTCTTCAATGATCAATAATTCAAGAGAGGTACAAAAATAGAAATTATAAATAACTTAAATCTAACTACAAAATCTAAAACTAAAACCTAGACTAAAATTTCCATAAGAGTTTTGTGGTTATTATGTACAATGACTAGCAGTTTTAGATATAAGTTATAGTTTACTCAGAAATAGTTGAAATCTCAGACTAAATCTGGTTTGAGGTTGAAATAGATATAGTCATTTAGATAACGAATTTATTATATTAAAGTAAAAAATATTTAAAAGAAAGTAAATATATAAAGTAAAAACTAAAAGAGTATTCGTTACATGACTACTATATTACTACCCATATATTTATCTTAAGTTATTGATATATTTGCTATAAAATCGTAAATAAAAATATTCGTCTATATCCAATAAATTATTTTGTATGAAAATTTGATGTTGTGTACCTATGTGTAGGCACATTCAACCATTTCTGCTTAAACTATAGCTTGACGCTTGATGACAGAATAGGTTCAATCCATTTGTCTTTATTTAGAATGTGTTTTTTTCTTAACACATTTTTTTTAGGGCGTTAAGTACAAATAAAGGATGACTTTTTATGAGAAACAAACATAATAATAAAAGTATAAAAAGGAATGAAAAAAGAAAAATAGATTATGGATTGAATGATAGTGAGTTATTGTAAAACACACTCGCGAAGTAAACCGAAGTAGGTCAAAGTCGAATAGTGAAGCGGGTTATTTCGTGTATCTTCGCCTAATGAGAATAAGTCGAGACGACACAAATATAGGCCGTTTGATATTAATAATAAGAAGAATGCTAAAATAATATGTACAATGCCTAAAATTATGCAATGGAGTAAAACATTTAATAATTGTCTTGTACACTTCAAAAAAATAAGATTTAACTGTTTTTTATATTTTAAATTACACTTCAAATATAAACTTAAAACGAAAATATTGAATTTTAAAAATTGGAGATGTCTTTGAAAACTTTATTAATTTCCAATAAAATTGTGGTACCTAAGAACGAAGTTTTTCCTACATTTAAAGGAAGTCTTGGAAACACAAGTTATTTTTAAAAGCATATTCGTCAGAATATAGTGTAAAATAAAATGAATTAAATACATTATTAAGTTCGCATCCTTTGATAGGAAGAAACATTGAGGGTTTTTATATCCATTAATAGATATTATAAAACGATATGCTGAGAAATCGCATGCAAATTCTAAACTCTCCAGATATTGGCTCCCCTGTTAATATTATGGTGCGTTTAGACTTGAGCACGCACGAGCTGAGTTAGCGCGCACGGCATTCGTTCGCGCTCTCGGCTCCGTTCAAATTAAAAAAATTTTTTTCGACGAATGAAGTGATCCATATGGGCGCGCACGGCGGAGTTGTGTTGGCGAAAATAATGGACGACCAAGAAATAGTCGAGGCTGCAGTCATTGTTATGCACAACTTAATTATTAAAAAGGAGAAAAATCGAAAACATCGTCGCTGGTAGCAAATCCAAATTTTTAGAAATCGATATAATTTACTGCAACAACTTAGTGACTGAGGAGGGCTATGATTAGTTCAAAAACTTTACAAGAACGACCAAACCCGACTTTGAATATTTACAAAATTTACAAGATCTTGCGTTTTTTTTTATTTTTTTAATAATACAAAGAATGTTTAACATCCCATAATATAGGCAACTTTTCATATTCTTCAATTAATAATAACGAAGATTCATTGATCCACTCCATAATTTTAATAAAGAAAACGAAAAAAAAAATCACACACGCACGCACGAACGCAGACAAAACAAATTGCCGGTGCAAACTGAGCGTTCGCGCACATCAAAATCCCTTTGAGCACGGACCAAAAACCGACACCATGCCGACACCAGACGGCTCACGTTCGCCGCTGCTCGCGCACAGAGAGATTCAGAGTGAGCGTGCGCGCACAGCCGTTTACACTTGAGCATTCGCGGAGGATCAGTGCGTGCGTGCTCAAGTCTAAACGCACCATTACAGCGAAGTCATAAATAGGTGTTTTTAAAGGCCTGTGTATGGCTGTATACGCATGTCAAATTTGAACAATTTTGAACACGCCGATTTTAAGTAATTTAATAAAAACTGCATCTATTTTTAAATTAAAACTGAACAGGCTAGCGATTCTGTACACATATTTGTGACTGACTATTAACTCATCAATCGTATACAAATACCATAGGCTAGACAGGAAAGTTCTTGCTACGAAGCTTACAGAATCCCACTGCAGGTAACAATACAACACCAAGCACCTGCTAACGTACCTGCTTAAGTTGTCATCCTATAATTTTGTCAATGTCAAATTGTATTTACTAAACATTCGGCTTTTGCCTTATCCTAGTTTTAAATTACAAAAATACATTTCGGGGACACTAAGCGTAGCTACTATAACGTTGTAGTTGGTTGTAGTGTAAAATAATAAATACAAGGTGTAGACAGCGGAACAAATTACATTTGACAGTGATAACAGCATAGGTTGACAACTTAGAGTATGATGACATTTGACTGGTTTTTGTTACCTGTTCAGTTTTAAATAAAAATAGATGCAGTTTTTATTAAATTACTTAAAATCGGCGTGCCCAAAATTGTTCAATTTGGGCATGTGTATTCACCATACGCGGACTTCGCTGTAAAATCAACAGATGATTCAATATTTGAACAGTTCCAAATTTACATGGGATTTCCTATGTTTCCAACTACGATGCACCACCCGGTATATAATATGCAATGAGCCACTGAATATACAAACAAAAATATGCCTAGTTCTAGCAAATCGATTCACAACTAACATTTTAACAGAGCTCTTATGTATTCTTTTTTTAAAATCATATTTTATCAGCGAGGCACGTTGGATATTGCTATTAATAAAACCATGTAAAAGGTATTTCGCTATGGAATCAATATACTATAATCATATTACAAGGATATTACTAAAGAATTTACATGGGCGTAGCCAAAGGGACAGTTGGGATAGCTGTCCCCTCTTGAAGTTCAAAAATTGCTTTAAAGACCAAGTTCTCGAGAAATTTACAAAAAATCCCGAAGAATTTGTTTTACCGAATTGTTTTACATGTTTATTCTATTTTTTTTCGAGATAAAATATTTTTGTTTACAAATTTTATTTGTGATGCTCCCAATTTGTAATTTCTCCGCCCTTAAATTTCATCAACTTGCTACCCTAAATTTATTCCTGTTAGAATATTTAAAAAAACAATGCTCTTGTTACTTTCACATAAAATTTAGGAATTATTTTTAAGTAAATGCCTTTTGCTATTAATAATTTAAAAAGTATCTTATAAATAACGGAAGAATGATTAGGATTCAGAGCAATATTAGTTGCTTAATACCTTATAACGTCATCACTTATAAGGCATATTTAAAGTCTATCCAACGATGGTCTAACGAATGAATACATAACACTGACAGTTGTCTGTCATTTTAATTCACGGGTAAATTAGCTTTTCTGTCGTTTTTTGGATGTCGTCTGTCGAAATCTACCCTGACTCGTTAGACCGGACTTTACTTGACTTTAAATAAAAGCTGAACATTTGATTATGTAAAATAGCCTTACATACCTATTTAAATCACAAAAGAATATAGCTCGAAAATATATAAATCAACCTATATTTTATAAATGACTATCTACAGTTGTTTCATTGACATCTTCTGTCTTTTCGTTGTTGTTCTTTTCTTTGTGTTTTGCTGGGAAGAACATAATTGCGAATATGTTCCTGAATGGTGCTTCTATTAATAAATATAATATGAAAGCTACTATGAACGAGAGCACTATATCTGATAATGCGTAACTTATCTGAAAATAAAAGGGAATAATATTAGCATTTAGGCAATATACATATATAGACACAGATATAGGACGAGTTTTTTCTCGTGAGACTTCAAGTTAAGAAAAATATTCTTTACATCTAACTTACAATATCAAAGTATGAAGTTACGTCGGCAGCTGCCTTCTTTGCGGTTGCTCTCAGCTGTATTTGGAAATGTACCAAGTAAGCACCATACACCAGTTTACTTAAGGGTACCCATGGTTTCCAGGATAGTACGTTGTATACCCATTTCACGTGTCCATAACTAGCCACATACAGTACGCCAACGCTTCCTAAAATATACTTAGAGATATACAGTATGTCCTAGAATTGTCTTTTTCAAGAGGAAAAACTTTTTTATTATTGATATTTTGAGAAAAATGCGTTCTTTATAAAAATTTTTGCTTGTTCTAAAATGGTTAATCTCGTTTATACTTTTCCAAATTTCTATTAGAGAAAATTAAATAAAGCATGAAAATATAGTTTTGTAGAATTTAAAAGTTCTAAAACGAATTTCTATATGGAAATATCATTTGGTTCTCATTCTTTGATAGATTGTTATTGATAGAATTTTAATTAACGGCATATTTTTTGCTGTTTGAAAATGTTAATGTTGAGAGCGAGAGATCTTTCACATACCTATTGACCAAACAGTTCTGTGTAAAGATGAATAAGCTGCTGCATCTAGTGTGTCGTATTCGTAGTAAGGGTCGTAGAATATCACACCAGTGAATATCGATACTAGCATGAGGATTATTGATATCAGGAATATCACATAGGACGATATCTGTAAAAGAGATTTCAAAATAAAAAAAAATATCTCCAAATACAGAAATTACTATTAAATTACAGAAAATACTAGATTCAAAAACCATTAAACTCAAAGCTAAACTTATATATTAGAGCAAGCCGCTGACTATTCATAAGTGACGGAGTTGAGTGCAGTCTCACTGTCACTGAGGCTGTGAAAATGTCCATCATTGGATCTCTAAGATTTTATTACTGTTTAATATATACTATATATTTAATATAAAGTAAAAAAATTCCGACGGTGTCATTTAAATCAAAAGTTGTAGTTATTTCCGGTGAAACAGGAAGTGACCAAAAAAAATTGAATACGTCAATCAATCCTAATTTATGTCACAAACTAACATACCAAATCTCGTTTTTTCATCTGAAAAAATAAAAAAGCTATAGGGGATGAGTCACTTTTGAGACGCACCCGGTATAAACGGTTTTATTAAATTTATCTTTTTTCTAACGTTTAAGAAGTTTATTATGGACAAACCGGGATTCCGACCACTACAGGTTGTAGTCAGTGGCGCAACTAGGGTGGAGCAAGGGGGGCTAAGCCCCCCTAGATGACTGGTGTAAGTCCTTTACGATTGGTTTTAACCTAAATCAATATTATCTTGTAGTGACCTAAAGCCCCCCAAAAGACTTGAGCCCCTAGAAGTATATGTCTAGTCGCGCCCCTGGTTGTAGTGCTTGGACCTCTTATGGTAGCAATACCTGACTCCATTTTATCACCTCTTTGCGTATGTTTTTTGTGTTCGTTAAGTAGCAAATTTAGACAACGTTTCGTCTCTTCATTATACGACCCACCGCATACAAACGGTACCTAATGGCAATCTTTCTCTTGTTTGGACGTTTCCGAGTAGCTTTACTATAGACAAAGAAGTTTTACTTCGATAGTTCTCTTAGAACTTCGATAGTTCGGACATATATAGGAACAGCTACCGCCGAATTCGGCACAATAACATTATTATATTTTATAATGTTATTAATTAATAAAAATATCCGGATTACTGGGGGAATATTTTATAATGTTATTGTTGAAATAAAAATGAATGTTGAATAAACATGTGTTTAAATTTTGAGTTTAGGTTGGAAACAATAAAAGTAATCCGGATACTTTATTAATTAATAGCAAAAGTAAAAAAAAATATCCGGATATTTAAAATATTTTTATAATGTTATTGTTTCATATTTTCATTGTTTCCAATCTAAACTCAAAATTTAAACACTACCTAAACACAAAACACTTTATAAAATCTATACTAATATATAAAATCCTTAAGTGACTGATATACTGATTAATCACGATCGTGCTCAAACCACTCAACGTAAGAAGCTCAATTTTGGCATACAGGTTAATTCTAGGGTGTAGAGGTTCGATAAGAAGGGATTTTTCGAAATTCCAGTTCCAAGAGGGTGAAACCACCCCTCAAATATTACAATATTTTTTATTTAAAAAACGGTCAAGTTTCCGAAAAAATGCTTAAACACGTATATTTTATTTTGTTTTTTTACATATTTTAAGATTTTTAAAAATGTATACAGGGTGTTTCCAAAAATCTGGTCATTGATTAATCACGATCCTGCTTAAAGCCCTTGACGTAAAAAGCTGATTTTTGGAAAACAGATTGACTTTAGGGTGTAGAGGTTCGATAAGGAGAGATTTTTCGAAACTCGAATTCTAAGGGGGTGAAACTATCCCTCAAATATTAAAATATTTTTTATTTAAAAATCGGTGCGTTTTTCGGAAAAACGCTTAAACACGTATATTTTATTTTGTTGGTTTACATATTTTAAGATTTTTGATAAATTTATACAGGGTGTTTCATAAAATATGACCATTGAGTAATCACGATTCTGCTTAAACTGCTTGACGTTTAAAGCTGATTTTTGGCAAACGGATTGACTGTGGGGTGTAGAGGTTCGATAAGGAGGGATTTATCGAATCTCAAATTCCAAGAGGGTAAAAACGCCCCTCAAATATTACAATATTTGTTATTTAAAAAACGGTTATTCTTTCGGGAAAACGCTTGGACAAGCATAATGTATTTGTTTTTTTTACATATTTTGAAATTCTTTAAAAAATCATACACGGTGTTCCAAAAAGTTGGGTAATTTCTTAACCACGATTCTGCTTAAACTGCTTGACGTAAAAAGCTTATTTTTTATTTGACTTATTAAGTCAAATTCCAACGAGATGAAACTACCCTCAATATTACCAAGTTATATTAATAATATCGCCATATTGTTTTTTCTCATGCTGACATAAATGTGAGAAAATTTTTTCCAGTTTGTATGTTAATGGAAATTCTTGCTTTGCTTTATCATCACCATTACAAATGATTAATTCGACGCGAACGAAGTCGCTGGTACACGCTAGTATATTATATTAAATCTCGTTTTCAACACATTATTATCTTCTGTTTTATTTAAGACGTCATTTGTTTCCTTTGTTTCCAATGCCTTCTCTTCAATTTGTCTCTGCCTTATACTATTCAGTCAAACCAGAGACAAATTCTTTTTGTACATGGTTTGATTTTTTTATTTGTTCTTTGTACATGGTTTGATTTTTTTATTTGTTCTTTGTAGATATATATTTTTTGCAATATACGATACTCTTGGCTCCTGTACTACAAGAAAAAACTACATACTGCATCTAACCGTCCACCGTCCACGAAAAAATGCGGATTTTCATTAATTTGCCTTTGAATTTTGTTGACATCTGGAATAAGGAGGTAAAAATATCAAAATTGTTCGGTTGATAAGAGAGGCTGAAATACTGAAGTGTGCGAATTGGTGCGTGTCCGAATTAGAGATGTTCAACTGTATTTGTATTCTTTCAAATTTGGAAACGTCAAGAGAGAGCATCTTCCTCAGTCTGACGAACCACTTCGTCAGACTGAGGAAGTTCGTCTGGCTTGGTTGGTCGGTATAATTTTTTTTCAGAATGTTTTACCTATTCTCGTTTGGTTGCTAAGGAATGGTTCGACTGAGAACTTAGATGGTGATTGAAAAAGAAGTTTCAAAAAATCGGTAGAGACTTTATATAAAAAAAGTAAAGTAAAGATTTCAGTTCACGTTTCCTTTTTGCTGCCAGGGCTAATCTGGACGGGGCCTACTTTGTTTACGCGGAATCCGAACCGCGGTCCTCGGCTATATATTGATCAACGGCCTACCGACTTGGCAAGTGATCGACTCTTACTCACGAGATATCCGATCTCATCCGGCCTCAAACCGGCGTGAATGAGCAGTGTGTATCAATAGATTTTACACTTTTGCCTTTTTTTGGACAACAGCACGATACAGAGTTTCGAACTGGTCACCCGTCCATCCACGTCGCCTTACGTCGCTTAACTCCGGTGTTCTAATGGGAACCGGTGGTTCGACGTAGCTGGGCCGTTGCCCTTTATATAAAAAAGATTTCTTTAAAATCAAACAACAACCGAGATTCACCAACTAGGTGAAGCATTTTGAGGAATTTTTTGACCCCCTCTCTCCCTCGCCCCATGTAAGATGTCTTAAGATTTGTATTGACCCACTCCCCCCTCCACTAATCCCATGTAAGATCTTTCAAAATTTGTATTGTGTATTATAAATGCGTTGGTATGGTGAAATCTAAAAGTGGTCTATCTAAAAAAACAATTTGCTGTATTATTTTTATTGACTAGTAAAGACTATGAGTACTTCTTTCAGATCGTAATCTAAAATCACTGTAGCAAATATTAAATAATACCAGATAATCGAAAAAACGTCAGCAGCTTGAAAATTAAGATCGCCGACAGCATGTAAAATTATATGGGAAATGTGAACAATCGTCATTTCCAAGTATACTAGACGTCATTTTTTTTCGACCAAACATTAATAGGGAACATTCATTCTAATTCAGTCCATGTAGACTCGACCACATTTTTCATGTATCAATACTAAGTAATTTTATATCTATTCATGGATTTTAATCGGCATATAAAAGAATTGTGTCAGATTTGGGCATATTTTGGTCTACAAACATGTTTTACTTTAAATTAATCTGATTTACTCATCCCTTCATGTAATTAATTATTAGTTATTAGTAACTTTTTTTGATACGTACTTAAAAGTATAATGAAAAATGCAAATTACAAAAAATAGAATGCAATCAAAAACGTTATAAACATAGACTTAAAATAAAATAGTTATAAATGTTTATATTTTAATTTGATATAATTTAAGTCTTTAACATGTCTTCGACAATAATTCATCTTAGAAAGAGTTCTTATGAAAGTTCTGTCAAATTCTATACAAAAAAAATGATAGTCAATAGCTATATCAGTGGCTATATCAAATTTGGCTATAATATCAACTGACCGAACACTATTTTTATCTATCTAATGCAAACATCGTACGCAATCAATCAGGACATTACAAGGCAATAAATGGATATTTCAAATAAGTAAATTTTACGTCAAAAAATGCACAAACATTATCTTATCATCACCTCACCTTAACCAGTCATCAATAAGTTCGAACATAAAATTATTTTATTTATGTAGATAATACGTTTCAAAGTACCTGCTTACCGCTTAGTCACGTTTCAGTAGCGTTCGGTACGTCCAGGTGATTTAAAGTGAACAATTTTAACAAAAACATGGTTCAAACCATCGCTATTTTTGGTTCTACGGGTCTATCTGGCTTGGCTACCACCGAAGCTGCTTTAAACAAAGGTTATAATGTTAAAGTGCTTGTCAGAGATCCAAGCAGATTACCAGATGACATTAGATCTCGATTAGAACTGATTCAAGGCAACGTAAGCAATTATGCTGATGTCTACAGCACAGTCAAAAACTCAAATGCAGTGATAGTGACTTTAGGAACAAGAAGTGACCTCAAACCGACTACAGAATTAAGCGAAGGACTTAAAAATATCGTCAAAGCCATGCAGGAGTTGAAAGTTGATACCGTTTCAGTGTGTTTATCAGCTTTTTTGTTTTTCGATGACAATTCGGGAAGAAT